TGACAGTAAATGGGGCTCCCATTTACTGAAATACCATGAATTTCGATCCCCCATTCCAAACGTGAGTACCCCAGGCCATTTCCGTTACAATATCTATAATTCAAATACGAAGAGTCACTTCATGCAGTGGCAATTCATTTTCTTCGGCCCAACGTAGACACAAATTAAATTAATTGACCGCCTATTTAGTGGGTATTTTCTGAATAGCTTCGTCTTCGTAATCGAAGTAGTGATTTTCTCCTGTGACCTTAGCTACTATCTCATCATCTTCCAAGATTGGCCTTCACCTCTTGCCCATTGCTTGAATTACATTATACACACACATTATACACTATATCTCAAATCTGTACCAATGTCAACCGTTAAATTTGATCTGAATATGTATTTTCTTTAATATTTAATTAATATCTGGTACTAGTATTCGCCCGTACCCACCAACGGCGAAATTTGGTCCGCAAGACCAGATCTGCAGATTTATTTTGTACGAAATTCGCATCGAGTCGTATCTGGCTCGTGGTTAACCATTAACGCACCGATATTTCTGCGAATTTGGCTCGCCACGTATCAGATATGACAGATATCTCGCTCGTGTATGGGGCGCTAATGGGAATCGCATATGTTGGAAATCTGCTTGATGGCCACCGGTGACCACCGGTGGTTCTGTGGGACCGCCGCCTAAGTTATACCACAAATTATTATACCGCTGTTTTTACTTGCATTGTAGAATCCGGCCTTAGTCGTATATTTGACGTAAAATTACCGCCAAGTGATCCAGATAAACAATTTCTTGACAAGACAGAGTAAACAAGTATTTTGTGTCGACTTGTAATTAATGAGTATTGTTCAAAACCAACGGATAGTTGATTTTTGGATTTTCGATCAGTTTTATATTGAAAATACAGTCGCAGTAATCCGCCGAAACAATCTCCGGCAAAGTGTCGAAAATCGTATATGCATACCGGCGTAAGCAATTCAACTTACCTTAATTAAAGACAAGTTATTGAATTTTTCGGTCACCACAATGACTTTGAAGTGTGTTTCCGCTCCCTTCGAAACATTATGCATGTATGACTCGTTAATTATTTTTAAATAAGAGGGTGCTAGACTGCTCTGGAGTTTGCTGGTTATCGCTGCTTCGACTGGCTGGCCAAATGTCGACATTTGATAATCCAAGGTACTTATTCTAAATATACAAACAAATATTAATTCATTTTATAAAGCCTTTGGCCCAGAGTAAACTAGGAAACGAGGTTTTAACTTACATGTTTAGCAGAGCCCTTATAGAGAACTTTGGATGAATCATTAAAACGAAAACTACTTAGAGTTCTGATTGCTTTTTTCTATTTTATAACGGCTTCTTTCAGAATTCGACTGGCATTTAACTTATAATATTTATTAATATTTATTATTCTGGAACTAATAGTTAACCTATTTCTACTGAGCAAGAGAGGAGGAGGTAAACATAGGACAGATCTGACGTTGCCGTTTATCATGACGAGTAGGTCATTTGTAATCTCACCATAGAACAAGGCTTAGAAAGAAACGATTTTTATGCTTGATAGTAGTTTGTAAGCAAAATCGCGCCTCTGGTGGCCATGAAGTAAATAATTTAATCAACCCAGTACACTTGATGCTTTTAACTGTATGGCAAAAGGTCGCTGATTTTGAACTTTTTTGCGGTGCTCTCCAGAATATTTCATTTCATAAATTTAATTAATAAAATTAATAGCGTTAAATTGAAATTAAAATAATTAATTAATAATGGAAAATAAATTTAACAGAGCTAAGTTTTTCGATAACGACAAAATCAATAACAAATAAATAATAACGACAAACATTTACTTTTTACATTTTTACAATATTTAAATATATTTGGTTTTATAAAATAATTATCCCTCTGGCGGGCGCGCCCGCGGCAAAATGCCGCATTTTTTAGATTTTCTTTTTGTAAATATTATGCATTAAAACTGACGCTTCCGTTCTTCCAGGTATTCGTTGGTGATACATTTGTCCCTTCACTCCTATATCGAACAGACCCTATTTCGATCGGCATTAGTTGCAGACTGGCATTAGTAAGTGTGAAATTTTTGCGGCTGATTAACCGCCGCGCGCCTGATCATGTAAGTATAATAATAATATGTTTATGGAGTTTTTTGTTACGAATTGAGCATTTATTGATACACATGTATTGTGTTTGTTTCTTTATGTTAACGTATTGTATATGTATGGTGTTTTAGCTAAAAAAAATTGCAGATTTAAAATTTTTTGTTACAGGTCGGACAAAAAATAGTTGCGATAGGTGTGAGATAATTAGAAGAGATGGAGAAGAAGATCTACAATAGAACATTAACGTGAAGAGAAGATAATTGATGATGATTTTGACAGCAATTTAGACCAGGAGTCAGAAGTTACTGAAAGTAACGTTTATAGCAGTGGTTCTGGACAATAAGCAGATGAAGGAGAAGCAGAATTTGAACCACTCGAACAAGACAAGGATTATCAACTTTTTATTGGAAAAAACAATGATAGGTACTTTAGATTTCTATTTTTAGAATTTTTAGATTTTTTACATTTTCTTAGCATTTTTCAAGTATTATTTGTGTATTGCATCCATTTTTGGTTACTTGTTTTAATTTCATTTACTAAATACATTTTAGAGTAGTAAATGACGTTTTTTTTAAAGAAAAACCGCTGCGCGCCCGTTCATGAGATTTTAAAAGGCGCGCCCGCCGGAGTTTTATAAAATGATGTTTTTAAAATCAAATTATGTGAACAGCCAGTAAAATAAATTCTGCTTTAGAGTTTCTGAAGTAAAGACTATTATGTTACTTTTATGAAAATCTATAAAAAATACATACAGGGAGATTCAAAATTAGCATCATTCTTTTAAGAAGTAATAGGGGCTCACTTGCAAGGTACGAGAAAAACATTAAAATTTTTTTTCAATAATTGTCAATGTTATATTTAGTCAGCATATTCCTGATGCTCTGTAGCGAAACTTGATGGGTGTTATGCCTGTACAACTCCTTCGGATTGAAGCTCCAATCAGTGCAGGGCTCGACGATTTGCAGACCGCAAGCATTATAAGTTTATTAATTTAACAATTTTTTCGTCGCGGGTCTTAGAACATGGGGATTCCATTGGCTCTTAATGTCCGTCGCACTAACATTGTAATGTGCGTGATATAAAAGGGCTGTCATATGTGTGTATCACAAAGTTCTGGGGCAAGTACATGCAACCTTGCTCTTCTTTGTTCCTTGATGAGGGGTGGCTGGCAATTGTACGCGTAAGATCCTACCTAAACTATTTGAGATGGTACAAATCATATACCACACCAATAAATTGTCTTAACACGCAGCTCAAACACGTTCGAGGCACTCAAAACAGGAAAATTCAAAAATACCTATGTGAAAAGGTTCAATGTTTTGATTAAAAACCTGACCTTCAGCATCACATCTAATGTCATTACGACATCACTAAAGGCGCGAATGGCTCTTTATTTTCAGAGTCCTTTTTGGTGCATAATGCAATCGAGTGACGTCATGCCCAAGAAAAAGACGTACCTGTATCTACTCGTGTATTCTGTGTATCACGATTCGTTTCGCAGCGGTTTCTACCATGTATTCTTTGTGTCTTGACATAAATGACTTGCTCTGTTGAATGCAATCGCAGAAGTTCTGTGCACGTTGTGTGTTTGGTGGTTTTCTTAATAAGCTTTGTTCTATGGGTGATTTTAAAGAGTAGAAAGTTTTCAGTGATGTTCAATGTGCGTTTGGTTGGTTTAGAAAATGGGTAATTATTTCGTGTAGGCATGAGACAAACCAGTAATTTTGAGTCATATGTTCCATGGGTGACTGTTTCAAACTCGTACCTGTTCTAAGTATCTGTGATTTTTTGTCACGTAATTTTTCCTTATGATAGATATTGGTTCGTATCTGAAACCGGGCTGAAGCTTATAGTTCCATTAAAGGATAGCCAAGCCACTTGTTCCTAGTTCCTAGTAATTTGGGTGCGATTCTGCTGGGTCAGCCATAAATTATGACCGAATTACTTCTGGTACCTTTATGTACTTATGCAACGGCTGATGAATGCATCTTTATAGAATTCTAGTACAAAAACAAACCCATTTACTTAATTTTTTTGGCTTTGTTGGCCGACTGATTTGACCCGTTTATTTTTAATTACATTATGCATCCTATCTTCTAAATAATCCAAATCACTGATTACAATTCATATTATCGCTTAATTAAAAATTGGCTAGCTTTAGCTGGTCACATTAAAGAAAAGATCGGAGTCGGTATTTACAGCTGTTCCCGATATTTTCTTTCTTTGAAAATTGCTATTTGCAGAATTATTGTTGTTTGCATGGATTCCACAAAACATCTGAACACACTCCCATACATACAAAACCTTACGCCTTGATGGACGCCTAAAATATCTCCTTTAACTAAAACGCCTTTTTGCTTCGTTCAAATATCGAAATCCCAGATGTTTTACGGGTACTAGGATCAACATCGAATGCCGGCCTGTTATTCCAAATCACATGTTATTTTAAATATCGGTCACAGGTACCGACTGTTCCATATCGATATCTGTTCCTAAATACCTGTGACAAGTCTTTCGTGTCATCCCTAATTTAGTGATATACATAGTCAATTATGCGTAAAGCTAGTGGGTGCTCCTGTCGTTCGAGTCCCTCCGAATTTGGAGTTTTGTCTATTTTTACCATAAGGAATACTTCAAATTAAGCAGCTTCTCTGTGAAAATTTTCCTGCATAGTCCATAAATCCACACCCAACTTTTGAAATTCGCTATTTCAAAATCACTTATTTATGCACGAAAATGAGATTGTCCGGTGCTATTTGCTGCTAAATCGTGTTTCAGGTATCAACAATTCATATATCCACATGCAAAATTGTTGCTAAGACGCACATTAATTCTGTTTTTCGCGTCGTTGGTCTGTTTGACAACACGGCTCCAAATTTAACCCAAAATGCCGATTTTCTTCAAAGTTTGTGAGTGTTTTTTGGCTTAATTTATAAACCATTCAGAAAAAATTTTCACTGAGAGTGTTTAATTTTAAGTGTTCTTTAAGTTAAGAATAAACAAAACGACAGATTCGGAAGGACTCAAACGACAGGAGCACCCATTTTTCGACCGAATGCCGTTTTCCACCACTTTTTACCCTCTGAAATTCACCAATTTCCAAAAAATACCAACGGTCAACTATGATGGTTCAGCTCTTTGCGCCGGCGTATCAGTCGAAATTTTCCGCGTAGTTGTGAGTACTATCATTTCCACTTTCTTAACATTTCCACTTCCTTATCCTTTTTATGTAAACACATCATTTATTATAATTGTTTAATATGAAATATATAGTAATTAGTAATACTCAGATGATATCTTCTCACTACTTTTCACATTCCCATCATAGGTAAATAATCTTCATTTGTACAATTTAAGCGTCTGGGCATGATTATTAATTATTTTGAAAAGGTTACGTTCTTTGTCATTTGATTGTATTAAAAATGGCCACTTTCGTCATGGCAACGAGTGACAGTATAATAAGATAGCTTTATGAAAACATTAAAGTGACAATATTTCGAAAACGAAACACTTTTGGAATAGGCAACTTTACAAAAACTTACCCTTATTTTCAATATAATATTTCAATTTGAATCTTAATTTTTTAATACTGTGTTAATAGTTAAGAAAATGTTGTTAAAATTCCATTAAAGTAAGTCGTTTTCAACAAGAAATGCTGCTCAAATAAGTAGCATATGTTTTCTTATAGGAGAAATGAATAATTACTCGAGCGGGTGCAACTGTAATTTTTTACATAAAATTTCAAATATATCAAAAACGGTTAGACTTAGGTATGAGACAAAAGTATATTTAGAATTTGTAGTAGAATTCAAAAATGTAATAATATATAGGGTGTTCCGGTTAAAATAAGCAAGTTGGTATCTACTTCCAGTATAACCATAAGTGTGGCCATCTCGACAATATTTTAGATCGCTTGGCCCCAATGATTGGCAGTCTGTCCAATTATTAAATTTCTCCTAATGACAGTTTGCCAGATATCGATCTCGGTTCCGGGTGGGACACCCTGTATATGTAAAGCCTGCTCCATTGATAGAAAACGACAAGCACCAGTAGAAAATTTTAGTCTACTAGATTTAAAAGGGAGTGGCTGACAAGCTGGTTTGATCAACTCTTCTTCAACGTTACGTCACAAAACGTGACGTTAGACAGCAAATGAGGGACGTCTGTAATTAAATTGCATGTTTTTCTATCACCCAGAGACAGGTGATTGTTGTTGACAGCTCAGCAAGCTAGGACAAAGGACTGCCATTTTAACATATCAATCTAGCAGCACTGTATTAAAGGCTGTATATTATTTTATTTGTTTAAAATACGTTAAATTCTTGAATAACGTAGCTCTTTGTCTTATATTGCTCAACATAGTCAGTTTTGTTTAATGAACGGCTTTTGGATGTTATTAATTAGGCGTCAAGAGTTAATAAACTGTGAAATTACAATAAACATATAAACACTTATCGTCGCGTTTCATGCTGATAATACAAGAAGAATTAGCTGCCAATGGCAAATAGCCCAATGGTTAACACTCATTATCGGACAAAGCGCGTTATATGTTATAAATTTAACGTTTGTGTATCGTAAAGCATCTAAGATTGTGCTGGTTTGTATATATGACCAATAATGCCTCAAAACTTGCATAAGTAAATCATCTTTAGGTGAACTTTTCATTGCAGGTTTACTGAATACCAGTTTGTACCTCAATTTCAACTCCACTTATTATTAAGCAGTTCCAATAAGAATAAATCTTGATTTGTTCATGAATGAATGAATGAAGCCAGGCAACAATTTGACCAAGGTTATCATTTTAAGGCTTAGCTCCACGATGTTGTCAAACTGCACAAAACGTTTGCTGTTAATGGAAATTGTATCCTTGCGTTGTGCAAAGTATCTTGCTTGTAACATTGGTTAAATTTCGTTCGCTTTGGGTTAGTCTAGGATTCAATTCATACTTGAACTTGTCGTTTGTGGACAACCAAATTTTTGCTTTTTTAACTTAAAGTACTCTAAGTATTAAATGTTCTTTATTAATTTTCAACTGTTTTTCAGTCAATATTGATTAAACTCCTTTAAAATCTCTGGTCTAAATTTCAAATCAGATGTAAACGCGGGGTGGACAAAGTTCAATTAATATTGGTTATTAACTCTAAATCAATAAAGTAGATACACAATGAAAAAGACGGCACTACATTTGAAAAAATGTATGTTTGGTTTGCCACATAAATTTGTGACATCTTTGAATGCGGAAATAATATTTTTCTATTCATTCTTGAATACGGCCGCGGCATAATTCTTTCGTAGCGTGCTTTCACCTGGTAAATTTCGGTTGGAATATATTTTCAAAAATGTTCGAAATCCACTATGTTGTAACTAGTTTAGTAATATGTAGGTTGTATTAATGCTTTGAATAAGTCGATATTAAATTGTTTGTAATAGGCAGAACTTGTAAAAATTTTGCAATTTTTGTTGTTTAGGTTTATTTGCACATCTTTTATATACCACAATACCTATATTGTTAATGCAACGTTGTTTTAACATGTTGCGTAATATTTCTTATTGTTATTGAATTTGGAATAACAAATATAAATTAAAGGGCAAATTAAAACGCAAACTTATCGTCTTTATGCAAACTCGCAAAAAAAGTATCCATTCTCAATTTTTAAGTCTTTATATTGCTTTATCCATTCATTTATAGAGAACTTCTGCTTTGACATTTTACAAACAATTAAACTATTTAATTAACATAATGTTTTAGAAGACCTTATTAACGGTTGTGCACGAGACAAAGGCGAAAGACACGGGGCAAATATTCTTTCTAAATTGCCTCTAATTCACCTCACTCGGGAATATACTGTATTCCATATAAGGTAGTAGGGATGAGCTCATGAGAGATAAAGAAGAGCACATAAAAGAAAATTAATTATCAAATTCGATGCTTTGAGGTTTATGCATAAGTTTCTGAAGTTAGGATTTGGGTAGATTGTTGTTAAATCGTTGGTCTTATTAAATCAAAAATTTAAAAAAAACCGTAAATAAGCGCAAACTGGACAAAAAAATCACTAAAAAGTCTGTCAAATGACGTGTTTTTGTACATTTCGTTCGCATTATTTAACAAAATCATATTGCTTTTATAATTTACAAAAAGCATAATGCCTATATATCAGGACTCTAATTATGAGGAACCAATTTACTCACTTTTGAAATTAATTTAGAGCACCAAACTAATAGAACTAACGATTTAAATTACTTTCTCACATTAGATATTTTTGACGTTTTTTAATTTTTTGCTATGACTTTGTTCATAAGCCACAGTAAACCCGCTACAAGATTGTGACATTTAATTCATTTAAAAGCAACACATTTTTATACAATTTTGTACAGGGCGTTTACACATAAGTTCATTATTACTGAAATTTAAAGAAAAGTTGATAGAAAAAAGCCACTTACACCATTTGATAAAATGT